GCTTATTTCTTTTTATCATTACTCTTATGACTTTTCTTTGTCTGAAAGCCAAGTTAGGTTTTTAATAAATCTTGCTCTCTTTATTGATTTTTGGGCCCTCTATTGAAATGGTTTTTATTCAGTCCTTGAATCTCTCTTGTATTTTTTCTGTTTCAGTTAATAATTTGATGCTTTCAGTCAAATCAAAGATGCATTTTTCAAACTCCAGCTGCGTGTGTTTCTGGTTTGGATGCTGCTGTGTTTGCATACAGACCATGAGCAGTTGCACCTCAGCAGCCGTTGGCTTTGCTTTGTGTAGTCACTTCCCCTTCATCCTTCCAGAGGAGGTGTAGTTTTGGTGAGGTGCTTTACAGAGCAAGGTTTGTTTCTGCAGGGTTGGAAAGGTGGAGGGACGTTTTGTCATGTAAGTAGTAATTGAAAATGGATGTCTGCAATGCCACAGACTTTTTCCTGGCTGTGAAATGCTTTGCCATGAGCTCAAGGTCCTAGCAGGGGAAGGTGTAGTCCTGAAAGGAATTGTGAGCATGGTATTTGTATGGGGTGTCAGGTGGCAGAAGTGAGTGGCACCAGGCAGACATTGATATTGGTCATTGCTAAGATTGCTCCTTGGAATCTGACTGTGGTTTTCCTCACTGTTGTTTCCTTGCTCATACAGATTTGAGTTAATTTGCAACTTCCTATTTTCCATGTCTGGTTTTTGTTATCCTTTTCTGGCACAGAGACCAGGACAGGAGGGTTGGGACCTGACTCTGGGTTCCTGTTCTGCACTGGCATCTGTTCTCTCCTCATGGAGCAGCACTGCTGTCCTCAGTGTTGATCTGTTTGTGGTTCTGCAAACACTGACCTGGTGGTGTGTCTGTGTGGAGTAGTGTTGGTGACAGAGGCTTGGTTAGTGGAGAGAACAGGCTCCAGTGAAGAGAATCTCCACAAGCATGGAGGAGGATGTGCTTTTTCTGAGGTACTGTTGACAGGTAGGTTCTTCTCCATTGGGAACCTGCAGGGTGGTTTTTCTGGTGCAGGATTCAGCCTGGAGGAGTCCCTGGGGACTGCCCTGCTGGTGTGGTTTCCAGAACAAACACTACAGAAATCCTTTCCTTTTACAGTAGTTGGACTGGCTTGATTGAAAGTTTTGCTACCAACCTCCAGATCTTCAGGCTGTTCTCACAAAAAGAGAATGGGAGGGGGGCACTAAACTCTGAGTGCCAGCACAGCAGTGGGCACCCCATCACCCTGTCCACAGTCAACACTGGAATCAGCAGCCAGGCTCGACAGCAGAGGAGGTTGCTGTGGGGTACAAGCTGTTGAGGCCTACCTAGCACTGATCTGCACTTCCTAGCCATCATGATGACATATTCTTGGAGACTGAAACAGCAGGAGAATTGTTCCTGGAGCAAACAGTCAGTTTAAAACAGCAGGGCCCAGATGTTGTAGGTTTGAGAGCTCAGGGGAGATGGTGTCAGGCAGTCAAAGACTGCTGGTGGAAATGTGCTCTCAGCTGGTAAAAGAGGAGCTGCTCTGAAAGGTGGGAGGGTAGCAGATGTTTCACCTGTTGCTCTGAGTGGGTTTTTTAAGAAGGGTTCTAGGACTGAACTAAGTAATTACAAGGCAATAAGTCTTTTTTATGTCCCTGTTAAACTGGTTGAAATGATAATCAAGTTATTTGTAGACATTTCAATGTATATTTTTAACCTGACAGCATCTTACCCACGTGGCAGTCTGGTTTCTCCAGTAGACTGTCTCTTGGTGGTTTAATGCAGGGGGGGAGTAAAGGATGGATTCGTGTAGTTTGCTCAGAAGTCCTTTGAAAAGGGGAAGGATGAAGAATTATCATGCATGGTGAATGATCTGAGGGAGGAAACTGGTGGAAAGGTAGTGAGGAGCATCCAAGGGTTCGTTCTGAATCCACCCTGGCATGTCCCCTGTGGTGCCACTGGGCAGTGCTGCAGCTTTTTCAGCTCAGTTGGGATCAGAGGTGGTTCCAGGAGGCCTCAGGCTGCAGGTGACACAGCAGATCATGAACTCCCTGCCTGGAGGAGTGTGAAGCAGAGCATGGAGGTGGAAAAAGAGACAAATCATATGGAACACCTTAATGGTACCAGATCCTGAAAGAAGCAGAGAAGGTGTTAAGGTCTACGAGGCCTGGGTGGGGAAGGAATGTGAGCAACATACAACTTCTTTGTTGGCAACATCAGCAGTCTGCTGTCTGCAGTACTGGTCAGCATGTCTCAGGAAAAGCCATGGAGAGGGAGGGAGGTTCAGGGAATACTGATGGAGATGGGTAGAGGCCAGGAAAGATTCTTCTAGGAAAAGAGAGGAGAGTAGGACTCTTATTGTAGAGCACAGAGAATGGAGAATGGAATACATACAATTTAATAAAATATAAAGAGGGTGGATTTGAAGCTTCTCTCCTTGTCTCAACAGAAGACAGTCAGTGAAGTCCAAAGGAAGCAAAGATTGCTGGTGAAAAGGGATTCTTTCCCTGGGATTCTTCAGTTAAACCAGGGAACTCAGTTGAGTAGCTGCAGGATCAGGCAGGTGAGGGTGTCACACAGCTGGAGGAGTGCAAGAGTAACACTGATGGAGTTCTGTAAGAATTTGCTCTTGTGGCTCTGCTTCAAAGAAAGTTACCAGGAAACCAAATTAGTCCCAAAGGTGAGGAAGGACAAGATACTTATAGCATCAGAGGATCACTGAGGCTGGAGGTGACCTCAGGAGGTCTCTAGTCCAGGGTCCTGCTCAAAGCAGGGTTGGCAGTGGGGTCAGAGGAGGTTCAATACACTAAACTGAACCCTTTCCTTCCATTTTCCAGGTTCCATCTCATGCTTACTGGTCCTGCTTTGTTCCAGTTTGCTGACCCACGTTCCCTTGAAGGGCACAGCTGGGCTATAGATTTAGCATCTAAGTGGCTAGGTAAGTGCTGCTGTTTGTTTTATTTGACCAACTTTGTAATGTTTTAAGTCCTAAAATCTCCCAATATGAACTGAATACTGTACTGAAAGAAATTCTTTTCAAAGCCATTTCTTTCTGAGCTCTAGAAACTGGTGCCAAAGTTAAGTACACCAGACAGCAGCAGCTTCAGAAGTACTGAGATGTTGAACAGAGCAAGAGCCTGTAAATACAAGTCTGGAAAGGGAGGAGTCAGAGAATGAAATTCTTAGTTCTGCATCATTTGTGTGTCTGGCTTGGTCTGTCTGGGGCGCTCAACGTCCAGTGCAACACAAAAGTGCTGATCTGTTTCAAAGCTTAATATCAGGACCTCACCATAAATAATGAGACAGTGGATGTGTGTCTGTGAGGGGTAATGAAAGCCATGGAGGATGTGAGATTCTGCTTTTCTCCACGTGCTCTCTTCTGCTTAGAAGAAAAAAGTCAATTTACAGCAATAACTACACCAAGATTCTGTCCAGGAAAAGGAAATTTATGAACTGGCTACATAAAACTTGAGTTTCTCTTTGACAGGAAATGACTCCAAGATTCACAGCAAAATCCTCTGCTGGTTTGAGAGACTGAGTTTAAAATAAATCAATCCATTACCATCTGTAATTGCTTATAGGAAAGGCTGACCCATAAAAGTGTTGTAACCAGCATTCCCTACCTCGCGTGGCTGCAGCCAAGCCATTTGAGAAAACAATCTTGCATGTGTTTTTCCTCCTTTCTGAGCCTTTCTGTGCCCAAAGCTGTACTGGAGAAACTGAACCACAGCTGCTGCCTTCCAAGTGAAACATTCTGGTTTAGGTTTGAAAGAAATTGGGTTTGGGAGCAATATAAAACCTCTGGTAAAGCAGCCAGAACCATAGTAAACTTCAGACTAGGAAGAAGAGGACAATCAAAATGTCTTAAGAATAGAGATCTAGTTTTAATGCTGCCTGGGGGTTGATGGCATTTCCTTCTGGACACTGTACTGCTGCTGCTGTTTGTACTGTACATGAAAATATTAACTCATTTGAAAAGTTCCATTTGTTTAGTCTGATTACCTTGTGTATTTGACAGCAGTTTGTGAAGCAGTGCCCCAGACTCGAGTGGTCAGAGAAAGAGCTCAGTGTTAGTTAGCAGGAGAGCTAATCCTGAAGGTGAGCAGCCGTGGAGGTAAGAGGAGAGAAAGGATGCATGTGTTTGATAGAGTTGTTCTCAGAGCTGTCCCACAAAACCCTTCTGCAGTGCCAGAAACTGCTTTTACTTACTGCTCAGAATGAGGTCGGGCTCTCCTCTTCAAAGCTGTGGTGTCACAGGGCAGGGTTTTACACTCTAGAATAGCTGCTTCATCTGAAGGACATTTTTTTTTCACTTCCCTGCTGCATTCCCTGGTCTTGTGTTCTACAAATGTAAGTATGAATGCATATAAAAAAAGGGCAGCCTCAAATCCTCAGCTCTGGGACAAAAGCCAGCCCAATATCAGATATCTGTTTTGAAAGCTTTCCATCTTCTTTCCTAATGTGACTTGTGCATGTCTGTAACACAATTATAGGAACAGCCTTCTGGGTCAATATGTGGGGGTTTTTGTGCAATTTATTAATACTATTTTACACAAATTCCTTCTTCAGAGTTCTGCACCAGCCCTGTCCCACGGTGCCTCTACAATCCTACATAACATCTCCTTTTCTTTCTTTCTTTAAGGGCTTTAAGAAGTGTCTTTCTGAAGCCCTGTAGCATAATCAGGAAGATCCTGTGAATGCTCTGTCCAAACTGAGGTGCTTGACTCACAGTCTAAAGGCCTCTGAAGAACCAACTCATAAAAGCAAGTGGGGTGCTTGGAGAGAGAATGTGCTCCAGGAAATGGCTGTGAGTTGGGCCTGGAAGGATGAGCTGTTGGACCAGTGCAGAAGTGCCCACTCTGCTGACCTCACTGCAGCCTGGAGGATGGAGATCTCTGAGGTGGTAGAAGGGAGCTGGTGAATATTGCAGGTCACAGATGATGCAAACCTGAACTGCTTCTGGTGTCCCTGTGGCCTCCAGTCCTTGCAGCCTTGTCAGGCCACGGTGCTGCTGGAGCCTGCAGGCCAATGGATGAGCAGGACAGTGATTTTAAAGAGCTGTGGGCCAGTCTTTTGGGTAGAGCAAAGAAGAAAGCTGAGGATGCTGAGGCAGCAAAGAGGGCTCAGAACAGGACAAAAAGCACTGCAGCAAGAAGCAAACTAAGAAAAGGCAAAGCTGCTGCTAAGAGCCAAAAGCATCATCCCTTACCAGCAGTGAAGGAAACAAACTTGTCTCAAGATTTGGGTCCAAGGGAGCAAACGCTGGTGCACAGAGAAGATGGTGATGCTGAGGCCTGTGGTAGTGGTGAGACTGCCCAGGGGGATGGAAGGAGGAGCCCTTTCCCTGCCAGCCAGCTGAGTGCAGCAGCCAGTGAGTGTAGCCAGAGGACTCTGACAGGTGAGGGAACCAAAATCTTTCAAACAGGAGAGATGGTAGCACTGAAAAGACTCTGTAGGTCAGTGGAGCTCTTCAGAAGTCCACCTGGAGGGGACATAGAGCACCACTGATTGAAGTAGGCTTGTACCTTGTGTTTCCATCTACACTTTGCTACCCAGGCTTATCTCAGGGTCTAACCTAGGAGTGTGTGAAACCCACAGGCAGGCAGAAGATGTCCTGCAGTAAGGTGAAGCCTTAGTACAAAGCAGTGTGCTGGGGAGTCACTATTCACTTTTTTTTGCAGTATCAAAACTGGGAAAATCTCTCAAATCATCCAGAAGCAAGCTTCAAGTATATTGAGGTGTTTTTTCACCTAGCACATCATTTTTTGGTGAAATATATTCCCACTGGACATTGCCAAGGCCAGAAATATGAATGAGTTAAGAAAGGTGTTGGATTATTTCATAAAGGATTAGTTCTTCAGTGGTTATCAAACGTGATGGCCAGAATGCAGTCACCAGTGCAGGAAGGCCTTAAACTGATCCACAGGGTCAGCCAGGATGAGGGTTCTGTTGTGCCTGTGTTAAGCACTTGCTGCTGACTGTACTCAGAGACCAGGCACTGGGCTGGTGAGATCTGTGGTCCCATCTTGCTGCCCATAGCCACAGGACACCTCACGCAGAGCAGTGACACACTGAGATGAGGCTGGCATTGCCTCTGCCTCCTGCTTGGTACCACCTCTCCTTGGGAGCTCAGGGTGCCTTCAGCTGAGAGCCTGAGGGTCTGAGCCACAGCTGGGTTTGGAGATCAGAAGGAAGAAGAGCAGGAGCCACAGGACATTCCGTGGTGGGAATGCTGAGGAGAGAGGGGCTGTGGGGCTGCTTTGCTTGTTCTTCTCACTCATGACCTTCAGGCAAGGCTTTCCTAAATATTCCTTCCTCTGAAAGGGATGTAGAGATCTCTAAACTCTGCTGTGGCACAGAAGCCTGATACTGTCATGGTGGTTATCAGGTATCAAGTCCTGTGACAGCTCAACAAATCGTTGGCTTCTTCCTCTCAGGATGGCTGGCACAGAACTGAGCCAGGCTTCGGCTGCAGCTGGGGAAGGCTTCCCTGGGCAGCCCAGCATGTTTCAAACTGGCTGCTAAAGCTCTGGTGTTTTCTCCCCCTCTAGTAAGCACCCTGAGTGGCTCCTCCCAGACCACGTTATCCTTCCCTCCTGCTCCACAGCCGGGCACCTGCTCGTCCCCCAGCCCCACGGGGCCGCCGCTGGCGGGCTCGAAGGTGAGGGTGGCAGAGCTGGTGGTGGAGAGAATGCAGCAGTTCAAGAGAGTGGCACCCGAGCAGCTCAAGCTCAGCACAGGTGATGATTTGCCAAGCTCTGCAGCCAGCAGGGATTTTCCTGATGCAAGCCAGGAGCAGAACCCACCAGAGAAGGGTACGTGTCTCCCGTTAGCTCTCGTACGTGCAGAAGGAGTGCTGTGGGCTGGGCTGCAGGAGCAGCAGCCTGGATTCCTGGATTGCTGGGCTCTGTTCCCAGCTAGCTGAGTGGCTCAGTGTGCAGCACAGAATAAATCACTCCAGATCACTGAGAAAACTTGCATTGTTAAAGGACTATCCTTACTTTTCTCCCAGCTCTTCTATGAGGCTGGATTAACCTCATGTTAATTCCAGAGGGATAATTGTCTTCTTGGAAACAGGTTGACATTCCAACAGGATCAGTGAACTTTGTCATCCCTCCCTTGGGCCAGTGTTAGGTAGCTGCCAGGTGAATCTGACTCTGAGGCAGCCCCCATCTTTGTAGCTCCCCAAGCACTCTCCAAGGTAATATGTTTGAGGCAGCTGAATTGTATTCACAGCAATTTTACTCTGCTTTGGTTCTTTATAACTCAGGGCCCTCTTGGTTCTGTATTGACATGAGAATCATCTGTGTTTTAATACATAAAGCTTACAATCTCATGTTCTCCCCAGAAACCTGAGCCAAAACTTACCCTTCGTTTGGCTCTGACACACAACGTGCTGTCAACAAGTTGCCCCCTCCTGCTCCTCAGCTGGTGCAGTCTGGTAGCATTTGAAGAGGTCAAGTTTGTACATTTGCTTGTGAGAGGTCAGACTTGAAGATGCAAGAGAAAGATTGTGATTTAATTTTTATGTGTCTAGTTTAATAAACTAATAAGAACAAGTATAACATCTCTGTGCCATTCATCCAAGATTCTTAGTTTTCTGTCTCAGGTCATCTCCCTTCTTTGCCAGATACCCACCACTTTCCATCCATGGAGCATGACGGTGCCCTGGCTTTGGCTCTTCAGGAGGAAACCAAAGAGGAAGCCCTGGAGGATGCAGGCCTGTTCTTCTGTCAGATCTGCCAGAAGGATCTCTCAGCCATGAACACAACGCGCCGAGAGCAGCACGTGAACAGGTGAAAGCCCAACGTGGCCTGTGCTCTGTGCAGCCTCTCCCCCTTCCCCTCACAGGCTGCTCTCAGCTCAGCCACCACAGAACATGGCAGCAGGGGAAGCTGCAGTGCTGCTGACCTTGGTGAGTTGTTTTGATCTCAAAGCAGGGGCTGGTGGTCCTGCCCTGCAGGGCTTCTGCACAAAGAGGCCAGCAAAAAGGAGGAGCCACTACCACAGGTTTTGAGATCTGACAGGTTCAGCCAAAAAAGTAGTGTTTGTTTTCCTAAAAATTGTTCCTCCAAGGACATCTGGTGTGTCACTGTGTATCCAGTGTTTGCTGATGGAAAACTGATCCTGTTCAGAAAGACAACCACACTGAAATTAGTGCCCTTAATTTAACAGTATCCATAGGGGTAAATAGGAATCTCTTTGGAGAGTACACAAAAAAAAAAAAGATTAGATTTTTTTGCATAGTTTTGCCCTACCAAAAATTTTTAGAAGTGGATCATCCTGTACTCAGGAGTGTGGTGTGAATTTTCTGTGCTACAAACCACTGTTGTTGCCAAGTGAGGTGTCTGACTTGAAGACATTGGTGTTTCTGACACAGTGTGTGGTCATGCCTACAAAAGCAGGAAGAGGGACAAGAAGTAGCCCTGTTTTGGGAGAGGAAGACTTAGCATCCCTCTGGTTGGATGATTCTTCTGTCAGCAGTGGTTTATAGGTTAGCTGGAATGTTAGAATGAATGCAGAAAGAGGGATTAGGTGATGGGCACTTGAGCTAAAGAAGGTTATTACCTGTACTTGCTTTTGAGGAACATGTTTTTACTGTGCCTCTGAGGCTGCTTGTGACATGTCACATCCATGACAGCAGTGGGCACGTGACTCTTGGTTTTTTAGGGGCTGTTTCTGGCTGTCACAGAGATCAGAGGTGGTTGTGCTTCCTCTTCTGTAATATAGTCTAAATCTTAGCGTGGACACTTTTGAGGTTGCCAAAGGCAAGCTTTGCTGTTGTCTGACAGGTGCCTGGATGAGCTGGAAGAAGCACAGATGCCATGCAGCAAGCCAGCAGTGCCTGAGTGCCCCATCTGTGGGAGGCAGCTCCAGACCCCCCAGAGCCGGCTCAGCCACCTGAAGCGCTGCGCCGTGGAGATGGAGGTGCCTCCCAGGCTGCTGCTGCAGGCCGTGCAGCTGCAGGTCTCCACGCTTGCTGATGCACCTCTCCAGTGCCCCAGGTAGGCTGGGGAGAAGAAAAGATGCTGGTTATTTTCTCTGGCCTGAGAGAGGTTCAAGCTGTGCTCCTGGGGCTGAGCTCGCCCGCTGGGTGCGCCCCAAGCCCAGAGAAGGTCACGTGGAGCCACGAGCCAGCAGCCCATGAGGAGAATGTGCTGGTTAGTTGGCCAAGTCTTCTTGCTTTCCTTCAGAAGTGGTCAGGTGGTGGATGACTTTTGAAGGAGCAAAATGGAGAGTAAATAATGTTACACTGGTTTGTCAGAATTATTGGTGCTCTGTGAGGCAGTTAATGCAGTGAAGCAGAGTGGTGTGTTTGAGCTCATTAAGCAAAGCACACCACCCAAGAAGGCAGCTTCTGCTGAGCATCTGTCCTGCCAGGGCCTCAGCTACTCGGCCTGTGGCTGTCCTGGGTAGCTGTGCTCTAACCCTGAGCCAAAGGGGAGACAGATGTGCTATTCTGAAGCATGCTTAGTACAGAGCTGCACCTGCTGCTGCAGATTTGAGCAGAGTCTCAGGAGCACAGCAAGTGGTGCCTGGCTGAATTTGTAAAAGGGCTATTAAATAAGTTACTCTGTGCTGAGGAAGGACTGTTCCCTGTTCCATGTAGAAGAAGAGTGGGAAAGCATTTTTCTGGTGATCTTGGTTTTGCCCTGCTTCAACTCATTTCTTCCCCTTTGGTACCAAGAAAGAGTTCAAGCAGTTGCTTACATCAGTGCTGTGGTCTTGTGCATACCTTTTCAAACTAAGACTATCTAAATTGCTCTAAATTCCATGGATGGTAAGAAATCCTTTGCTCTCTGCTAGGGAAGAAGGTGCTGAATGGTTTTTCATTATCCTTGATATGGGAATCTCTCTGAGCAGCTGGTCTGGAGTGCTCAGTGTTTCTTGTCTCTGATCCAGTCACATTAACTTGGGCTTCCTGCTGCATTCTTGTATTTCAGCAACCCACCAAGCAGGCCAAAGCGAAAAGGCTCCTCCAGAGAAGACTCAAGGAAAATGCAGAAGAGGGCCAAAATGGAGACTAAGGATGAAGATTTGCTGGTTGCTATGGCAATGTCACGCTCCCTCTTGGAGCAAGAGAAGCAGGAAGAAGCAAAATCAGTTACAAATGTGAAACCAGTGGCTGCTTTGCCAATCAAATGGAAGCCAGGGTCAGGTATGTGGTAAAGTGAGTTAGTGTTGAAGGCTGTGATGTTGGAGCAGTAGTGTCACACAGCCTGCTCTCTGCTAAACCCTCCCTGTTGGCTCTAGGAGGGATGACAGCCCTGCTGCTGTTTCGCTTAAGCTGTCAGAGCTTCAACAGTGTGCAGTATCCACACACAGTCCAGAAAGGCTGCAGGATGTCCATGGGTTTTAGTGAAATCCTGTAAGAATCTCCTGCTTTTTTTCACTGATTGATTATTTGGTATCTGTGAAATATTCTTAAAATAAGTTGTTAGGTTTTTTGTAAACCATGGAAGTGAAAAGAAAAAACACGAAAAGATGATTGTTACTTCTTCTGCAGTAGAACTGTTTTTCTGTTCACCCTGCTGCAGCTTGAATTCATGCAGCTTTTTCAGCCTTACCTCTTAGCTCTGTTTTCTTTCTGTAGGGGACGTGTATACACTAGGTGCTGTTGAGTGTGTGCTTTGCCATTTTGGTGTGGGGAAAGGTTTAGAGAGGAAGACAACTGCCAGGGGAGAGTGTTGAGTGCTGTACAGAGGGGAGACGTCACTCCTCATGACCCTCCTTAAGTCTCTTCCTGCCAGTAAGTTGGGTTTGGGGTTGGGCATTAATAAGGCAAAGGGACTGAGACACAGGGTTTCCAAATGAAAGCTGCCCAGTGTTGGTGTGAGCTGTGCTTTGATGCCCTCAGTGACCAGTACAGAAGAAAAGGAGTCCTCCATGGATTTATTGGTGGTTTTCTCCCCTTCTTTGTGAAGCGCTGCCATCCAGGCCCCCTTCTGTGGGGCTGGGGGGTTAGGCTGCCTGGATATCAGTCCCATCCATAATGATCAGACTTTGCAGAGATGTGGCAGCTCCCCACAGGCAGCAGAGCAGCATGAGCAGGGGTCTGTCTTTTCTGGAGTCCCTTTCTCCCCTAATGATTGTGCTCTGGGGGCTTCGGGCTACCTGCCGAAATCTTAGGAGTTGTGTTCAGCTTGTGTTTCTGCCTTCTGACTGCAGCACTTGAAGGAGTTAACATGCTGAGCCCCTCTGCCCTGTGTGTTCAGCTGTTTGTTGATGTAGGCTCCTCTTCCTTCTCTCTTTGCAGAGAAGAAGCAGCGCAGGAGGGCTCCAGCTGCACCCCCCCCCCTGCTGCTGCAGGACCCCGAGAAGCTCCGCAGGAGGATCCAGGAGCGAGTGGCTATGCTGCTTCCAGAAGAGGTGGACTTCCCCCCCACCCCTCAGCTCCCCACGAGCAGGATTTTGGAGAATGAATCTGAGAAAGCAGCCTGGCTCTTGCCCTTGCCCAAAGGCAGGGAGTGCTTTTTGTGGAAGATCAGTGCTCTGACAGGACCCTGTGACCCTGACTCGTTCTATGCTGCTGCACTCACCCCTCCCATCCTACCCTGGAAGCCTCTGCAGGTGAGATGCTCTTTTGTCCTTCCTCTGATATTTGTCTGCCCCAGTTCTCTTGCCCTGTAACCCTTCTCTTTCCTCATTTGGTATTTAAAGGAGCAGTCCCCTCCCTCTGCACACTCCTCATGCCCTGTTGTCCCCTGGTCCTAACACAGATAGATTTTATAATCTTAAACTTTCATTTCTCCCTTTTGGAGAGACCAAGGTTCATGTTCCCATGCTATTCCTCAAGCTTTCAGGAAATAAAACTGATGGGAGCAGAGTACTGAGTAAAGGGGCCCCATCCTGCTCATTTTGCCACTAGTTTGTGTGTACAGCAGCCTGGTGCTTGATTTCCTTCTTGGCACTTTTCTCTGATTGCTTCTAGTGTGAGCTTTACCCGTGTGCTGTAAGGATCTGAGCAAAAGGTTTAAACTGGAGACTGGTACTTGTCTTGCACAGAGGAGAAGGTGGGAGCAGTGAGAGTTGTGAAGTGAAGCATTTGCACTTCAGGCTTTCCCTGTGCATCCCACAGGAGCTTTCATCCAGTTCTCAGTTGCACTGTTCCATTCTGGTTTTTACTTAGGTCTCCTGCCTCTTTGAATGCTCTCTATTTTTATTAAAAGTACCTACAAAAATAGACAAAGCTCTTTTAGTTTCTCATCCCATCTTATACTTGCTCTCCAAGAAGGATAAAGCCTCTCTTCCTTCCCTCATTCTTTCCTTAAAGAATTATTTGGTGCTTCTGTTCAAAATCTACTGTGCATATGTAAGGAAGTGCTTTATTTAATACTTCTTCCCTAGTCAAAGCCCCAAGTTTTTCACTGGCTTATGGCAGGCTGGGACTGCAGTGAAGGGACTCCATTCTGTGAAGATTTTTAACTTTTCATTCAAGCCAAAAACTGCCAGAGAAGTTTAAAAATAAAGAGTAGGAAGGCCTTTAAAATCGTGGCAAGAGTGTGTTTTCCCTCTGATTCTTTCCATTCACAGAAATGGCCAAACGATTTTTCACTTAGAAATAAACAAACAAAACTGTTTTTATTGGGAAACAGAGACCAAACCTGGAAAATATCAGCTCTGAGGTGAAAGTTTGATTTAGTTACATGTAACTGCAAAAGCACTTGAGAACTCTGAACAGAAGCACCTGGAGAACCTCGGCTGTGACTGTTGCCAGGCACTCCAGCTATAATGAAATAGGAAGATGTTGGAGCAGGAGCATTTCCACCATCCTTTCTCCCTGCTTGGCAGTTGCCTGCACTGACATGCTCCTGGAAAAAACACCTTTTCTTCATTTTCTGTAGTAGTTTCCTTTCTTCTCTTTGGAGCTGCCTTATCTCTGGAGAGTCCTTCATAAAACTGCAGAGAGCTTTTGCCTCAGGAGCCCCTGTACCTGGGGAATGTTCTGTAATCCTTTACTAGATGTTTCAGGAGTATGAAGTAGAGACTCTACTTTGAGCTCTGCAAATAAATAAAACAAGACCTAATTTATTGGTGTCTCTATTTTTTTCCTCTTCTTTTGATCAGAGTAATAAGCCAGAAAACCTTCAGCCGTCGGTGGGATCTGATCAGCCAAAGGTATCCCAGCAAATTCACCTTGACCTTAGTCCTCATGAGCCAAATCACACAGAGGCTGGAGGCCAAACTTCCAACGAGTCCAAGTCAGGCCCTGAAGGAGATGAGCAGTTTTTATCTCACAGCCAGAAGGATGCTCAGACCCTGCAGGACCTAGTTGAGTTGGCCAAGGAAGGACTTACCCTTACTCAGTGGAACCTTGATGCTGACCACGTTCAGGCAGCAGAGAGGCCAGGTGAGTTTTGGCAGCTCTGTGAGCCCTGTCCCTGTCCCTTCAGCTACACCACTAAAGATCAAAGTAGTTTCTGTCAGGAGGTAGCATGCTCACACTGAACAACCAGGACAAACTCATCCCTGCTATTTGAACAGTCTTTTTGCTGTGTGCACTGTCTTTTCAGGTCTCGAGACAGCTGGATGAGAGAGATGTGCAAGAGGGATGGTTTTGTGTTGGTACATAGATTACACAAACCCAAGGTTTATCTGTACCTATGCAGGGTTGAAAAATACACCACCTAAAACTCTAATGTCCTTAGCCATAGTGGCACGTTGTGCATAACTGCATGTTTCAAGGTCTCTGATAGCCCTTGAGTTGGGCTGACTGTCCAGGAGAATGTACTCTGTGTCTCCTGGTCAGCTGTGAAAGAGAACGTGGTTGCTAAGTCCACTCCACTTGGGTATAATATTCCTCACTGCCCCTCCTAAACTGCAGTAAATGATTCCTGGTCCTGGGATTTCAGTGGTGATAGCTTCCTGTGAGGGAAACCATTTCCACACATAAATGTCTATTGTGTGTGGAAATGAGACCAAGTGGAGACAAAAAGCTCTGCAGACACTAGTGCACCAGAGCCCATTTCTGGAGAGGTTAATTCTTCCTGTTGCTCTGCATCCTGTTCTGTGCACTCTCTAGACTACCACAGGGCTCTGGCTGAGCTGAACTGGTTTTACTGGCTGCCTCTGAGCACAAGAGCCCACAGCATTTTGGCTAGGTTGAAATACAGGTCTGAGACACGTCCTGCCTGTCAGCTAGCAGGAGACCATGATGTGTCTCTGTGTTATAGGGTTGGGTTTTTTCTCACTGGTGGAAAGCTGAGATGTGGAAGCAGAGAAGCATGTGGCACTCTGCACTTCCTCCATCTGGATGGTGATGGCACAGACAGATCTCAGTAGACTGGTGCTGCTCATGGCTGGATGGTGCTGGGACACCCACAGCCTGTCATAGCCCAGAGCCAAGCCCTCCAGGAGAGGCTGAGGCTCCAGCTCCATCAGGCTGGTGACAGCAGCTGCCTCCGGGGGCTGCCCCAGCCCGGCTCC